ACAACTCGAACTTCACATATCACAGAAAACTGTATACAAAAATATATTGTTTACCTTCATTATCGAACTTCCGATAAATTATCGTTCAAAGGTCATCTTCAACAGAGCCATACTTGTTTCAAGCATGGGTTTCATCAATTTATTAAGTCATTCAAGACTGTAGATTCTTTGTTTTTAATCTCTCTCAATCTAACTGCTAACATTGGTCTTGGTTTCGAAATGTCCACACTTTTAGTCGACAAAAGAACTTCGCATAGATCCCTGCTTTTTCCCATATTGGTCCATATTATTTGAAGTATTTCCAATAAAGTATCATCTCTTTCTTGTTGTCGAAATATCAAAGTAAAATCCTCTTTTCTAATATCACTTTTAAGATGGGCCTAAATTGCTTTTCATCTTCACAAATCGATTTCCCGGATGTGCGGACGCGTCGAAGTTATGACAAAATTGGCGGGAATATTTCTGTGCTGTTATTTCGCTCTTCAGTGGATTTTTTCCTTGTGATAAATTGTTCTAATATTATCAATATGTAATATAAATGTTTAAGGAAAAAAATTCGATTTTTCAACAAATACTTGGCGCTTTGTTTCCTTTTCGAGCGGAGTATGGGTTTCCTGTGGTGGTACACGGAATCCAGGACGGAAGGACGGACGGAAGGAAACGTGCGTACGCGCGGGAACCCTGTGTCGGTCCATGGAAAATCGACTCGATGGTATACCATTTTTTCTTAGCTATGGTGCTCCGCTCGCGCGGGCCTTTGGCCCACGCGGGAGCTCCGCTATGAATACACTAAGAATAGCCAGTGTAGTCACTCGTGTATACTCTCGGTTCTAATTGAAATTATTACAATTCAAAGTGTTAAACTTTGCGATCTAGTCTAGCAAAAACCGGAAAAGAACATGTTCCAAAGAAAATGGCGCCCATTCTCGAAGATGCTTTCGTGACACACGCATGCGCAGACAAATTGCCCATATGCTCAAATGTCCTATTTTCCATGACAACGTTTTCGCAAGTATAGGTGTATATCAAAACACGTTTCATTATTTACTTTAGGAGACAATATAAATGGCTCCAAATTTCCACTGTTTTTGAGCAACGTTTTCCGATGTAAACATACTKTGACGTCATATATTGAGATAGGGCAATTTCACCACGATGCACGAGAAATGATTAATAGGTTAGCAAAAAGCCTTTTTAACAACAAAATTTAGCATAATTTTTTTTAAATTAATGACTACGGACTACAAGAATTGACTTTTTCAACTTTTTTTCCCTCCATTTAGTTTGGGTTTGCAAAACGATAGAATTAGCTTTCTTACYAATTTCGTGAGCCACTATTCCTTTAGACCAACWCCCTGAGGCAAGCTTAATATCCTGCATGCCACCTCTTTGGCCAACGTACGAAGGACAACTGAGGAGACATTAATAAAAAATATATCAACTARTACCAAGTTAGAAATAAATAATAAATCATATCCCACAATATTTGTTGCGAAGCCCTTCTTTTCTGTACCGGCGTCTGCCATTTTGAAAATAGCTACAGAGGGCCCTGGTTATGAGCTTGATCTTCAGRATTATTCATTCATTCTCAAAAATTATATCACAATTTAAATTCAATCATTTAAAATATTTTTAGCTCTAAGGTTAGGGTTAGTGTTAGTTTTAGGATGTTTGTTTGTTTTGAAAGAATGTCATTCTGAGTTTGACGAAATAGCCTCTACCTATTTGTACTCCCTTGGTAAGCCGATGTATTATGGTAATACATTGCCAGAAATCCCGAACCGATATGGTCTATTGTTTTTAGAAATTTACATACTCTCAATGAAAATCGAGTGCAAAAAACGTATTGAGGTTTTTCGCTGACGTCACGTATCCCGTAGCAACCGCGCTGGCCGCCATCTTGAAGGTCAGGTTGTCTATGTAAACACACTTAGTTTTATCGATGTCCGCGAAAAAATCTTACTTTTCCTCACTTGATCGACCTTCAAAAGACAGATATCTACAAAAAATAGCATCTATTAACAACATCGATTCTTATGAAGTACAAAACAAGGACTGGAGCCCAAATGTTTGCGATTTTCCGGCAGTCACGTTCTTGGATCTCGTGACATATCTCGTTCTGAAATCGAGTGCTTATACTCTTGACCAATTCAAAGCTTATAAAAGCCTCGAAGCCTATAACCAATTTGTCTCTGGATGGGTTAAAGAAATTAAAGTAAAAAAGGTCCACGACAAGAGCTTGACAATCATAACTGGACGGGTGAGTTGTAATACTTTTCAATGTTTTTTGTGAGTCACTCATTTGCCTTTACTGACATCGATAACTACCTTGTTTTCACAAAAAGTTCTACTTTGATACTATATAATAAAACTTTATTAAAACGAGTGTTTTTATATGTTATCAAAACATTTGTTGCATGTTATGCACTCACAGCGGGTGAGAGTACACCGCTAATGCCCTGGATTCTGGAACTGTGGAATCCGCACATTGTAATTGATGGCAGGCCTTGGAGAAACATGCACTCACGTAGGAGCTTTACTGTTTGCAATTGAATGTTATATTCGACACCGGGAGACAAAAACAGTCACACAAGAAAAATCTTACTGGATTGTGCCCCCAACCCGTGAAGTAAGCTATGAACCTGTGTCTGAGATTAACTTTACATCTGCTGCTTCTCAATTAAAGGAAAAACTTGAATATGCTAATAAACACTGGAAAGAAAAACGAAAAACCAGTTAGGTGTAATGTGGCAGTCAAACCAACTGAAACTGAGATTGCTGAATWTTATTCATCATTGAGCAAGACAACAGGACAACCTGCAATTTTATCAATTATAGATGGCTACTCMGATAACTATGTRCCAAAGTCCCTAGACAAGGAAAAGTATCCTCTTGTGCTAACAGAGCTWCATAGACATGACTGCATRGGGATAGAACAGCAAASTTTAGAAGGAACTTGCAGCAGCATAAGTATATCATGMACACCGGAGCAGGCACAAAATGTTGAAAGGGAAACTCGGCACCAATCAAAGTCAAAAGCATGGTATCGCTTCAGATCAGGAAGAGTGACAGCCTCAAAGCTTAAAGATGCATGCCATACAAGCTTGGAAAAACCTTCAAGCTCTCTTATAAAGACAATATGTTATCCTGAGGCAACAAAGTTTGTGTCAATTGCCACTAAGTGGTGAAGTGATTGCGAAGAAAAAGCTAAAGAAACCAAAATGAAAGAAAGACATATGAAATTTGTCATTTCTGATTCAGGTTTTGCCATCCATCCTTACCCACACCTTGGTGCATCACCTGATGGAGTGATAAGTTGTGATTGCTGCGAGGGAAAAGGCTGCCTTGATTTTTTTGCGAAAAATTAAATTTACTTTTAATTCGCTTGAAAAAATATCCAAATCAAATATTTTCACCATGTTTTGCTATGGGAATATCTAAAGTTGTTGGAATTTGTAATAAATAGCGTTAGTTTTGTATTTATAGGGTGTTTTTAGGAGTTTATAGCTCATCTACAGCATCTACTTACTTACGCTGATTTGGATCATTTGTGCCAAATATACACACAAATTGACGGAGTAGCTATGGGTTCCCCCCTAGGACCAGTTCTTGCAAATATTTATATGGTCGAATTAGAAACATCAGTAATAGTCTCCTTCACGGTTAACTGCGCCATCTTGAAAGGTAGCCGTGACTTTGCATCGAAGCGAGACGACCGTTGAGTGTGCAATGATAGAAACCTTCTTTAACACCTACAGACAATTCTTCACAGGTTTCTATCATTGCACGCTCAACGGTTGTCTCGCTTCAATGCAAAGGCACGGCTACCTTTCAAGATGGCGCAGGTAACCGTAAAGGAGACTATTCCAACGTTAAGTGATTACCTCAAGACCTGGATTAGATATGTAGATGATACTCTCGCGTTTGTCAAGATTGGACATTATGAACATGCACTTAAACAACTCAACAGTTTTGATCGTAAGAAAATCCGTTTCACCTACGAGTCAAGCCGGGAGAACTCAATTAACCTCCTAGACACAACCATTACGTGGAATAATGGCCGCTTTGAGACCACAGTGTATCGCAAGAAAACAAACACCGATCTATACATCCACTGGCAAGCCGATGCACCGAAGACCTGGAAGAGAAGCACACTTAGAGGTTTAGTAAAGAGAGCCTATAATATCTGCTCTAATGAAGATCTATTGAAGCAAGAACTACATCACTTGCGAAAAACATTCCATGAAATAAATGGTTATCCTAACTGGGTTATTGACAACATCATCAGTGAAGTTAAAAACAAACAAGGTCAAGATATCACACAAAAGAACGGACAGGATAATGACTTAACCTCTGTGTTTATGACATTACCGTACACAGGCGACAAAGGTGTTAGATTAGTTCAGAAATTAAAGCGTGCCTCTAATAAGTTTCTGCCACAAAATGTAAGACCTAGTGTTTCTTTTAAGGCTGATAAATTATCATCGCGTTTCAATGTAAAAGACAAAATTAAGTAACAATGCGAACAAAAAGCAGGCAACCTTCTATTGTTCTGCGGCAATTGCAACTTCCCCACATACGAATGTCTTGATTTTCGCATCGATTATATATCAACCTATGCGTAACACATTTTTTAAATAAAATGTGGATAAACTCTGTTTTGAAACAAAGTTTCTTTTGTATTAAAAGATCTTGTCCAATCATAAGCACTCAAAACAATAGCCAAAAGATGCTTCTAATTTGCTATGTTACCCACATAGAATTCCTATTAATATTAAAGCTAAGGAAAGCTTTTATAAAGTTAGAATCAGATATTGAATAAAATATTGAAAAATGCGATTACTTTTGAAATTATGTCAAATTTTAATGTTTTAACCAATGAGATGGATGGATTATACAATACACAATTAGCACCTTCATGCATTCCATTGCCGTTTGCTTGCCTACTTCTTACTCGGACCATTACTTAACATCAAACATCAAAACAATGTAGTGTGCAAGCTTGAGTGCCCACAAGAACGATGCCCACATACCTACATTGGTGAAACGGCCAGAAGATTAGATGAAAGAATCTCGGAGCATGGAGGAAAGGACAAAAAGTCCGCAATACTTAAACACAGCTTTGAATCTGGCCACGAAACTGTTAAGTTAGAAAACGGTACTATTTAAGCGTCAAAATTTAAAACATACAAACAAAGGAGAATCGCCGAAGCGCTTTATATAAAAGAACAAAAACCATCCTTGAATAAACAGGGACAGTCAATTCCCTTCTTTTGAACTAATTTTAATTATTCATGTWAGTTCAGTATGCAGTCGATGGCCTTTGGATATAGGCCGAAATATACACTTAGTAAAATGATAAAACTTCTCGTAATCCTTTTCGTATTTTTAAACAAACAAACTACGTCAGACCTCTGACCTAATGAAGTGCAATTTATGTTAGCAAAATGAAGTAAATCGATTTTTACGACTCTTCTGTCTCTTGCTCGATTCTTTCTGACATTGGCTCTTAAAATATAACCATATTTTTATCAAAATTTC